TGGTAACAACAGGAGTCGGCACTGTGGTGTAGCAGGTAAAGCCGCCACCTGCAACAACAGCATCCCATATGGGCACCAGTTCGAGTCCCAGCTGCTCCACTTCTGATCCAGCTCCCTGCTAATGCACCTAGGAAAGCAGTAGAAGATGGCCCAAGTATTTGGGCCGCTGTCACCCATGTGGGAGACCCGGATGAAGCCCCTGGCTCCTGGCTTCAGTTTGGCCCAGCCCTAGCCGTTGTGGCCATTTGGGGACTAAACTAGGGGATGGAAGATCAAGATCCCATTCATTCTCTCTAACTCTGCCTTTCAAATAAATACAATAAATCTTAAAAGAATGGGGGTGGTGAAAACAACAAATGCCACCACACCAGAGAAAATAAAAGGTCCTCAAAACAGCATCCTTAGCTACCACTGACTAGTTCTACATTTAACTGTCCGTATGAGCTTAGTTCAGGGACCCACTGAGCACCCCTGCAAGAGATTCCACTGATCACCTGACCTCCTTGGCCCCTAGTTAGTGATCTCTTCAAAACACACAACTGGGGGTCTCCAGGCACTTCATTTTGTTTTCATTTTTTAAAACATCCACTCTTTAAAACATCGGTTGTGGGGCTGGTGCTGTGGTGCAGCAGGTTAAAGCCGCCACCTGCAGTGCCAGCATCCCATATGGGCGCTAATTCAAGTCCCGGCTGCTCCTCTTCCAATCCAGCTCTCTGCTATGGTCTAGGAGAACAGTGGAAGATGGCCCAACTCCTTGGGACCTTGCACCTACATGGGAGACCTGGAAGAAGCTCCTGGCTCCTGGCTTCAGATCAGCTCAGTTCTGGCCATTGTGGTCATTCGGGGAGTGAACCAGCAGAAGGAAAACCTCTCTTTCTCTCTGGCTCTACCTCTCTCTGTAACTCTGTCTTTCAAATAAATAAAATAAACCTTTAAAAAAAAAAAAACATTGGTTGTAAAAGCAGATACACAGCATCTGATAGGGACGTGAACACGTGCAGCCTTGGGGTCCACACGCGGTCCTGGAACTACCCCTCTGTGCAGCGCTGACTGTGCATCCTCATTGTAAGTACCAGACTCTGTCTCTAAGATGAACAATGGCCATCACAGCTCCCACTCAGTTTCCCTCACAAAGGCTGTGCCTTCTGTGAAAATGCCAGCTCTTTAGAGAACTTGACAGCTTAGATAACAGGCAAAAGAAATTAGGGGGAAAAATATGAAAAGCTGAGAGTCAAAGTCCTCCAAACCAGACTGGCCTATTTGTGAGGTCCCATCCAAAAAAGCTGTTCTCTCTACTGCCTGAAACTTTTCACTTGTTAACAATCCTCTTCTTTTACGAACTAACTTTTCATGGTAACAGCAGAAATGTAAGTCTTTCTAATTTCAGTTTAAATTCTTTCTTCTCAAAATCTACACTGAAGAAAAAGGAGTTGTGATTAGGGGAACTACAATGACCAATAATATATGCAGGCACCGTGTTTTAGCATCTCTGAGATTGGAGTGCACCTCACAACCAATGGTTCATTACGACTAGAGGCATTTCTTCTTTATAAGTTGTCTTTAAAACTAGCATGCATCTTACAACTGCCATAACTCAGTACCACTCACCTGGGATCCTAACAATGTTAGAAGTGGAGCAGCCTGGTCAATATGGAATGAACTCCACTGAATAAGTAACTTGTTTGTAATAAAAAGGCATTCTAGGGGGTGTTTGGTGCAGTGGTTAAGACCCATATGGGAGTACCTGGGTTCAAGTTTCGGCTCTGCTTTCAATTCCAGCTCCCTGCTAATGCACACACTGGGAGGCAGAAGGTGGTAACTCAAGTACTCCAGTTCCTGTCTCCTATGTGGGACACTCAAATGCAGTTCCTAGCCCCCGGTTTTGACGTGGCCCAGCTTTGGATGTTGCAGGAATTTTGGAAGCAAACTAGCAAATAGAAGAGAAGCGCTCTCTCTCTCTTTTTTTCTTTCTCTCTCCCTCTCCCACTCTCCCTCCCTTTCTGCCTTTCAAATAAAATAAATATATATATTTTTAATGTTAGGATGGGAAGGTCTTAAAAAAAAGGAAAAAGATAAATGCTATAGAACACACTTCCGAACGGACAGTGGTAAGAACTAGACTTCAAGATTAATTTATGCAGAAATACAACACTACACAAAAGGGAAAGTGACAGCAGAATATCATAACATTAGCACTGGTAGGATTAGAGTCCGACTCAGCTCAGACTTAGCGCAAAAAAAAAAAAAAAACCAACAGTCAAATATAGTAGAAATATAAAAAAAACCGTGAAAACCAATTAACATTAGATTTGCAAGCTCAATGAACTTATGGAAAATATAAAAAAATAAAATTCACACAAAAAATAGAAAACCTACACAAACCAAATGCTACTAAATGATCTGAAATGGTATTCATTCAAGGTTCTCTCCAGAAAAACGTCAGCCTGAGTGGTGCCACCGGCGAGGTCCACGAAACTTTCAAGGGACAGAGAATTCCAGTCTAAACTGCTCCTGCGAGGAGAAGGAAGAAAGCTGCTCACCTCATTTTATGGGTCTACTATAACCTTGATACCAAGGTGAATTAAGAATCACACAGCAAGCAGAAGAGCTGTATCCCGGAAGCAGACGGAACAGATGTTGGCTACAGACAGGATGTGATGAAATGGGGAAAGCTCTGGTGTGACAGCCACTGAAATAAGGAACACCAGAGAAGCAGGTTTGGTTAGGAAGAGCAGCTCCGTTTGAACCAGAACAGCCAGGTGCAGGAGTGCACACAGCAGGTGAGGAGAGGAGTCAAGGGCAGAAGAGAAACAAACAACAGAGATCCCAGAATCACTCAGGGAGATCCGAACAACAAGAGACCAGAGACTTCAGAAAAGTGAGACTTGGGCGACAAACCCGCCAAGAGGAAGGCAGAAAAGAACAGGGTCGGTGGTCAGTCAGTCATCCTGAAGCCCCCTGCCATCCACTTCATTCTCTCACACATCACAACTCAGCGGGGTTCCCAAGGAACATCTCAGAGGCAACCTCTAGGACTCTCCAGTACCACCATAACAGCCCAGGCGCCCCGTGAGGCTCTTAGGATGCTCTGAACTTCAATTATCTTCACAATTGTATTCAGCTGTGGAATTCACCTTCCCCAACACCACACTTGAAGCTGCTGCGAGGGGCAGGCACCCTCCCTTTTGCCCTGCACAGCCGAGGACACACGTGTCAAGAACGCACGTCCACATCCACGCTCAATGTGACAGCCGCCAAGGAGAGGGCCGAGAAAGGCGCTGAAAGGTGCTGATGAGGTCACAGCTACTCCGTGGTCGGGGGGAGGAGACATCCAGATCACAAGGGGTTAACCAAAGGGCTGGTCGCCCAGCAAGCAAGCCAGTTCCCCACCCCCCCTAGAGAAGGGATTATCCGCGACAGAACGTGTTGCTCCCTAATGACCATGCATGACGTTCTTAAGGACAAAACTTTTTAAAAACCTTAGCGTGCTGTGAAATGGAAAGGTTGCAGAAGCACAGCTTGAGGGGGTAGCGGGTTTCAGAAAAGTTTTCTGGAAACTGAATGAATCCGTTTGTGCTTTTCAGATATGGGATAACGCACGCTCCATTAAGTCAGAAAATTACATAAAGAGAAAACAAGACGTTATCTAGTTAGGGACAGAAAAGACCCCTCCTCGGAGATGGGAGGAAACAGCAGTTGAGGCAGGAATCCCTCCCCGACGCCTCCATCTTTTCTGTCAAAGGTGGAGAGAGGTGGAGGAGCAGAGGCGGTTAGAAATGGGCTCCGTGGAGAGCGAGCCCCGGACCTACTGAAAATCGTTCTACCTGTCAGTCTGTCTTCCCTACACTCCACCTACTCCTGGGTCACAGAACCATCCTTTTTTTTTTTTTTTTAAGCTCCACACTTCGCAAAAAATCTAAATGCTCCCGGTCCACACTCTTTCAACAACGATAGACGTGAAGTCCCACTCTGCTAACTCGAAGTTTAACTCCTCCCAAAGTGCACACAATCAGGGAGCAGCGTCCACCGCCAGCCAACGCGACAGCGACCGTTCCAACCACGCTCCTACACCTAAAACAGCGTCCGCGGAAAGTTGGCGTTGAGTTGTGTGTGTTTTTGTTGTTGTTGTCGTTTTACGTTAAAGCTCGTCCGCCAGACAGCCCGGGTTCCCGGGTTCAGGTCCCGGCTGACTTCAGGCCGAGTGCTCCAAGGGGGACTACGACAGCCAGGGTGATCGTGAGGACTGCATGACGTAGCACAGGTGCCAAGTGCGTGCTGAGTCCTGGGCACAGAGTGCTCACCGCGGAAAACAGAAAGCCCACCTCACCGCGACCGACCCCGAGCGCACTCCGCGGCCGCAGGTCGCCGGACCCTCACACACTCACATACACACAGCCCTGGCGCACGCTCGTTTCTTGTTTTTTGTTTCTTTTTTCTTGCCAGACTTTCCCACTGGGAGTCAGGAGCAAGAGAACAGGGCTGCCCGCCACCGGGCAGAAAGTTCCCCGCCAGGACGGCGCCGGGGGCCCGGGCCGCGCAGGCCGCGCAGCGGCAGGTGAACCGCACACGCACAGGCCGGCCCGAAGCCCGCACCGGCGCGCCAACCCCTGCCCACCGCGCGGCCCCCGGGCCGGCGAGGTGAGAGCGCCTTTGCCATTTAAGGATCCCACGAGCGTCGCCCGAGCCGCCTGCGCCCGCACCGCCTCCCCGATCGGCCTGCGACTTGGGGGTGAAAGGGGGAACAAAAGAGGGGCCGGGCGGCCGGAGGCGGCGCCGGGGGGTCTCCGGCGGGCGGGCCCGGGCCCAGGGCGCACCACCACGGCCTCCCCGACCGAGGCTGGGCCCCCCACCCCGTGAGGGAGCCGGGCCCGGCCGCCCCCTCGCCCGGGGCCTCTGCGCGCCCGGCTCCCTCAGAGACGACGCGCGAACCCCGCGCCGGCCTCCCCGCAGCCAGCGGCCTCCCCCGGCGCGCGCACGCACTTCCCCGCGAGCCAACTCACCCGGACCCCGGGGAACTCATCCTCCGGCCCTCGGCGCGGAGCGGGTGGGCGCGGCGGGGGCCCGGCTCGGCCTCGCCCTCGGCGTGCAGCGGCCCCGGCCCGGTCGCCCCCTCGCGCGGCCGTGTGATCCGAGCCTTCCAGGCCGCCCTCCCTCCTCCCGCCTCCTTCGCCGAGCCCGGCGGGCGGATTCCAATCTCGGCAGCCGCGCCGCCGCCGCCGCCGCCGCTGCCGCCGACACTCGCTCGCGGGGGAGGGGCGGGGGTGCGAGGACTGGGGGAGGGGCGGCTCGGCGAGACGGCGCGGCGCGCGCGCGCACCCGCGCCCGGCGCCGGCCCCGCCCCGGACACGAAAGGAGCCGAGCGCGCGGCGGAAGTGCCCGAAGGTCCCGCGAAGCCCGGCGCCCCGCTGCCGGGGAAGAGCGGCCGCCGCCGGCAAGGGGGCGCCGGGCTGCTGTGAGGAGGGGGCCTCTCCTCCGCGCGCGCCGCCGGCCGCTCCCCGCGCTCCAGCCCCGCCGCCGCCGCCGTGGCGGGGCCGCTAGAGACGACGCCGCGGCGCAGAACACCCCCCTCCCCGGGTGGGCGCGGTGCTGCGCTTGGCCCCCCGGTCCGTGTGAGCGCCGGGCCGCGGACTTGGAGGCTAAGGCTCCGTGCCCACGGTAGAGGGAAAGGCGGTCACGCTGCGTGCCCAGGTGGCTCTAGGGGCCCTTGGCCGCCTCCCGAACCAAGGGACAGCGGCCTGGCAGCTGGGGTCTCGGCGCTCCGGGCTCCGGTGAAGTCCAGAGGCGTAAGCTAAGGAGCGGCGGGGCCCATCAGAGCCTATGCCAGCGGGCTATAAATACTGCACGCATCCTCCCGCGTGCCGTGCCCTGCGTTTGGAAAATGCAGATGGTGTCCACTGCCCGTGCCTCCCATGTACCCCCTCTTTCCTGCGTGTGGAGAAAGGCAATGGGTAGTCCCTTTGTAGCAAAATTTGACCTTAAACCTCCTCGGTAAGTGTTTCCATGAATATGTCGGGTATCTTTTAAAAAGACACTTTAAAAAAATCCCTTGTTTTAAAATCTCTTAAAACTGGGTAAAAAAGAAGGAGGAAAGGTAGAGGGAAGAGTGTGCCAGGCCCTGATACTCATGTTTGCACACATACTCATAGAGATGTTCGGATGCCGGTGTGTTCCCTGTATTCCCGCGTGCTGTGTTCCTGTTGAGAGTGTGCCTTTGTTGCTTTCCTCTTTGTACCCTCTTTGCCCTTGAATGCCCAGACCCCTTCTGTAATTGTGATTTGATTTCGGTTTTCCTTTCCCTAATCTTTCCTGGCTCTTTCGCTGTCTCAGGTTGGAGAGTCATGTGTTAGGATCTTACTAAGCAAGAAGACGAGGATACATGAGATTCTTGGCGTCCGCTAAAATTTGTCACTTTGCTTTCTCAAGTGTCCTACGTGCCAGCCTGCTTTAATTTTTAAAGGGAGGACTTTTTGCTCAAGGAGATTCAGACCGATTGGCTAGAGGTGTCATGGGTGTGTGCTTAGTAGTGTCTCATGGCGGAGAAAACCGTGGCAGGTGTGTCATCGTGGTTTTTATGGCCTCATTCAATTTTTAGACATAGCAATAAGTCCGTAAAATAGTCAGAAATCCCAAGTTGGGACTTCTGCTACATCAAGTTTCTAAATGTACAAATTGTTGTTGCCTGGCTTGTGTTGCATGCTCCTGACATGAGAGCAAATTTGAGGCATGGTGTCTTTTCCTCTCCACGAAGTCCCTTTCAGATCTCTGGGAATCGCACTTCATATCCTTTTGCTCTCCTTATAAATAAGACCTTCCAAGTGCCCAGCCTGCAGATCCTTAGCATATCGCAGTGTGCAGCCTACCCACCTGGAACCACACAGGCTCAGTGTTCTCACTGCTTGCTGGCATGTGTGTACATGCCAGCCTGTTTCTCCGGTTTGCCTGCCCACTGAATGAACAGAGCAGCCCGGGAGCCCCAGGAGACGTGTGGACACGGATGGTTGCTCCCCAAATTCAAAGGCAGCAACCCCCAGGTCCAAAGGTAACATGCTTTGATGTATTCCTCGAGGTAGGTTAATCGAAAGGGCTGGAAGTAGACCTTTTCCTCTGTGCAGTGAGTTTGTTGCAGGCCCAAGTCATGCAGCATTTGTTTGGAATGCAAATGACCCTTCTCAGACTTCGCAGCTCCTCAAGGATGCTGTCCCCAGTGCCCAGAATTAACACCCCATCACAGCCTGTACCACTCTTTACTGCCTGGAATTACCTAGTCCCTTGTTTCTAGTCTGAGTCCCTCAGCCGTGCTAGAAGGTAAACTCTCTAAGAGCAAAGACTGTTGAGCTCTGCTCGGAGCCTAGTGCCTGGCACACAGTGAGTGCTCAACAACTGTCAGTCAGGATCGAGAAGAAAATCTCCAAGCACTGGTGAACCTCGTCAGCAGGGCCGTGTTGGAGAGGGCCGTGGATGACATCACCGTTGGCTAAGTGGGGGCTTCTGCCTTCAGGGATCCAAGGCCAGTGGATGAACCCAGGCTCATCCGTCCAAAGTCATTTTCCTGTTGTAAAGGTTTTGCGAGGCAGAAGCAGCACTGAGTCTCTGTGTGTGTGGAGATGAGTTAGAGCCCAGCGAGGAGGGACAGTGCTTGGTGCAGGGGTTCAGACCCAGTATTTAACAGGTGAAAGTGTTGTGGACAGTGTAGGAAACAGCTTTGTTTTTCTTTTCTTTCTTTTTTTTTTTTTTTTAAGGTTTATCTATTTGAAAGTCAGAGTTACACAGAGAGAGGAAAGGGAAAAAGAGAGGTCTTCCATCTGCTGGTTCACTCCCCATTTGGCTGCAACGGCCAGACATGTGCTGATCTGAAGCCAGGAGCCAGGAGCTTCTTCTGGTCTCCCTCACAGGTGCAGGGGCACAAGGACCTGGGCCATCCTCTGCTTTCCCAGGCCATAGCAGAAAGCTGGGTCAGAAGTGGAATAGCCACATGGGACACCGGCACTGCAGGTGGCAGCTTTACCCGCTACGCCACAGCGCCGGCCCCAGCTTTGTTTTTCAACACGAACATGACTGCATCGTTTAATTGGCTAATAATACCCCAGGATGGTTTAAAAGGACCAAGCCAAAACAGAAACTGTGTTTAAGGAAAAGATGGGTGTATGTGAGTATAACTGAGTGCACAAAACAGAAAAATTCATAAATCAGAATTTGTTCTCCTCTCTCCCCTTCTATTTACAGCATGTTCCTTCTCTCTTACCCCATTTTATTATTTAAAGATTTATTTATTTTATTTGAAAGGCAGAATGATAGAGAGAGAGGGAGAGGGAGAGAGAGAGATCTTCCATCCATGAATTCACTCCCTCAAATGGCTGTAACAGCCAGGGCTGATCCAGGCTGGAACTCCATCCAGGTCTCCCATGTGGATACAGGGGCCCAAGCACTTGAGCAGCCTTCTGCTGCTTTGGCAGGCCATAGCAGAGAGCTGGTTGGGAAGCAGAGCAGCCGAATTCCCAACAGGCATTGCAGGCTGCCCACTGCACCACAATGCAGCCCCTCCCTTTACTTCATTCTAATTCCTCCTTGCTTTAAAGCACTGCCATCCTTTGGTCCTGCCGAGCCCTGGGTCTCTGTGTTCCTCTTTCCCCACCATCCATGCAGCTTCGACCTTTTCCTAGGCCCTGGGGCAGGAAGAAGTCTCAGAGCTTCTGTCCCTAGCCCAAGATTCAGTCTCCTGCTGTCTTTACTGGTTACTTGGGGAGAGCTTTTTTCTTATGAAAAACCTAGGCTGCCGGCGCCGTGGCTCACTAGGCTAATCCTCCGCTTTGCGGCACCGGCACACTGGGTTCTAGTCCTGGTCGGGGCGCCGGATTCTGTCCCGGATGCCCCTCTTCCAGGCCAGCTCTCTGCTGTGGCCAGGGAGTGCAGTGGAAGATGGCCCAAGTACTTGGGCCCTGCACCCCATGGGAGACCAGGATAAGTACCTGGCTCCTGCCATCGGATCATTGCGGTGCGCCGGCCGCAGCGGCCATTGGAGGGTGAACCAATGGCAAAAGGAAGACCTTTCTCTCTGTCCCTCTCTCTCACTGTCCACTCTGCCTGTCAAAAAAAAAAACAAAAACAAAACAAAAAAAAAACCACGAGGCTGTTCACCTGCTTGGAATTGGATTTTTCTCTGCCTGCTGTCTGGATTCAGCTGTAGCCCTACAACACGGATTCTGCTGCAAGTGAGGATGCCTGGTCGCCTCCAGCTCTTTGTCTGCAGAGCCTCTGCGTCCCTGTTCTCCCATTGGTTGGACATTGTGATGTGTGTTGCTTTCCTGGACTACCACCTGTTGTTTGCTCACTGCTCTCTGGCTATCAGGTACTGCCTAGAGGGCTACAGTTCCTCCCCCAGCACCTGGAGATAAGGCCTCCCACTGGCTCCCACTCAGCCCAGGGCAAATCTCGGCTCACTGCCCCACAGTGAGTTTATGGCCTAGTATGCTTGGGTCACTTTGTAACCAGATAAGTCTATATTTAATATATATCCGCAGCATATGCACACAGGGATGCTTCAAAAAGGTTGTGCAAAAATGAAATTAAAAGGTAACTTTATTTTGGTGCAAAATTTTTTTGAAATCCATGCATGGCTTTCTGATAACAGGCATTTTTGCATGAACCTTTTGAAGACCTTTCGTGTGGGTTTGTAGCATTCATTGTACAAAGCAGAAATTCTAGGAGTAGGAATTTTAAAACTAATAGTTAAAAGAGGGGCAAGCATTGGATCCAGCAGCTAAGATGCCTGAGGGATACCTGTAGCCCCTACTGGAGGGCCTGAATTCAAGTCCCACTTCCGATTCTGGCTCCAGTGCAGACCCTGGGAGGCAGCAAGTGATGGCTCAAGCACCTGGGTCCCTGCCAGAGAATCCTCACTTCTGCCTGGCCCAGCCCCCTCTGTTGTGAGCATCTGGGGAGTAAACCAGCAACTGGGAGCACACTAATGCCTCTCAAATATAAGTAAATACAAGTTTTTAAAGAAAATAGGGTCCAGCATTGTGGTGCAGTGGGTTAAGCTGCCACCTGTGACACTGGAATCCCATAAGAGTACTGGTTTGAGTCCTAGCTGTTCCACTTCCTATCCAGCTCTCTGCTTATATGCCTGGGAAAGCAGCAGAAGGTGGCTCA